ACGGGCCCTCGTCTCCCTCCAGCCAGATTGAGATGCAATTTGCAATCCGCACCCTGCAAACACTCCAGGAGAGTTGAGACAGCTGCAAAGCCACGGTGGCTCATTCAAAAGTTCCCACGTTTTACGTATATATAACTGTAAGTACGATTTCGGCAATCGTTCGCCCTTTTTAGCGTTGTCACTCGGCCCTTGTGCGGCCAAGTCTTAGTAAGCTTCCGGCCCTCGTTCTGAATTTTCAGTATATGCATTCGACCAGCGTTTGGCCAATTCAATGCATTCGGCCAGCGTTCAATCGCTCTTACTAATGACTTTATTTGTTTATTCAACCTCACATTTATCCATATGTTTGGCCAATCAATTATGCCTACTTGGCATTAGCGGCACACACTATAGGTCTGTGCACATCTCAATAACTATATTACTGGGAATTAAAATAAACTATATTCATGCCATCTAGTGGTCTTTTATGTTATTACAGGTGCATATTTTACTGTTTTAGATAGAATTGCAGCTTGTATTCATTTACCAAAATTGAACATTTAACTAATACATTATTCAGCCTCATTGTACACCTAACCGTTGCCTCGTATGGCCTCTTTTTAACTATTTCCTAGTATATATTAACCATTGCCTCATACAGCCTCATTGCGCATTAATCTACCACCTGGTACGGCTTCATTATACATTTAACTACTGCATCATATGGCCTCATTGTACATTCAACCATTGCCTTGTACGGCCTCATTGTGCTTTTAACTATTTCCTAGAACAGCCTCACTGTACATTTTAAAATAGAGGGACAAAGGTTTAAAAATAATATCAGGAAGTATTACTTTACTGAGAGGGTAGTGGGTGCATGGAATAGCCTTCCAGCTGAAGTGGTAGAGGTTAACACAGTAAAGGAGTTTAAGCATGCGTGGGATAGGCATAAGGCTATCCTAACTATAAGATAAGGCCAGGGACTAATGAAAGTATTTAGAAAATTGGCAGACTAGATGGGCCGAATGTTTCTTATCTGCCGTCACATTCTATGTTTCTATGTTTCTAATTATTGCTTGGACCAGCCCGTTACAAGGTCTGTTACGTTCAGCCGTCATTTGGCTAGTTTTACATTTCTACTAGTTCTTGTCTGGTTGAGATTCATTCTGCTTGTATTAAGTGTTTGCCTTTCATCTGGCCTTATTTGAAGGCTTAGTTTCACAATAAATATTGTGACAGGCCCTCATTTGGCTTTAATTGTATTTTAGCTTCACATGCGGCCCTTGGTGGGCCACATGGAAAATTTGACACATTTGGCACTTATTCAGCCGTATCAACTGTCTGTTATTTTAGCCCTTATTCGGCCTAACTAAGCCATGTAAGTTTGGTTATTATGCGGCCACACCAGCAAAGGTAAGACTAGGATGGCTTTGGTCTCATTCAGCATATTTTATGTCTGTTTTAATATAGGTAGGATTCTGTGGCTTATTATAGTATATTGGTTAGGGCACTTGTAATCCTCTGTATTGTATCAGATTCTTGAGTAATTATAATCGGCCCTCACTTGTCTTCACGCATATCCGTTTTAATAACATTTTTATTTGACCGTATAGGAGGTATATATTGCATTTAATCAAACAGGTTTGATAAAAAAAAATAGTTCCAGGGCATTCGCACCTAAGTCCCCCTGAAGTCTATTCACGGTTTTGGTCCATGCAAACAAGATGGCCACCATCACGTGTTCGAATGTTGAATGGCGGCCACTTCGAAAGTTCGAACTGTGGCCATAAAAATCGAAAAAGGCACAAACAGTGATTTAAACTAAGTTTTATCACAGGGGCCATAGTCACAGGGTAGGAGACTGGCAAACAGGCCCCTCCAAAATCCAGTGGCGAGGTCACATTCGCCACAGCCCTTCTTTGTTTGTCTGCAGGATATTTGACCGACAAAAGAGACATTTACTCTGGAACTCATTTCGGCATGGACCTTGTTAGGGGCCGGTCAAATCTTTACCCCAGTAGCAATTCGTAAATTTTCATGGATCCGGATGCTATTTTGCCAACCTGGGCACTCGGATCAGAGCTATATAATGTGTTGGGGTTTCTGCTTGTTTTCATATTTTTGGGGGGGATATTTTGTGTTGTGTCTTCTGTACCTGGGAGATAATTGGTTTAAGCGAGGGCTAACTCAATTACTCCCCGACACAGAGGCACCTGGGCGGGCTTACTCAGAGTTGAATAGGGACCCCATGTTGGGGGTCTGGGTATATAAGACTGTGCCTTTTCAATAAAAAACAGTTTTACTCCCAGAACTATAATTCGTCTAGTTACTGGGGTGAAAAGAGCTATAACACTAACCCAGGGCTCGACAAATCCCAGGTGCCAGATCACCATGGCGACTAAGAATTTTGCTCTGGCGTCTGGGATTGGTCAGCCCTTGCGCTCCTCCTCCTGTACTGCAGAGCTGTCAAGCTCTCGGTCTGCCCATGCGCCGGGAGGAAGTGAAGGGAACTGTACATACTTCCTTCCGGCGCTGTGGCCGCGCAGGTGAACCACAAGCTGGCAGGACACCTGGTAAAATCTGCTCTGCTTGCTGCCCGCCCCTATTCCACTAAGCACGCCCCCTTACCACAGAGCACGCCTCATGCTTGCCCTGTACCGCAGAGCACATCTCCACTCCGATCCCATTTTGCAGAGCCGGCTGCCCGCCCCTTCCCCTGTGCGGCCTCAGAGCAAGGAGAAAGTAGTAAAGTTCACTTCCTCCCAGCGAACAGAGACAGGAGGAGGGGGGAGTCTGAACAGAGCGGCAGCCCACTCCTATCAGCCACAGCTAGCCCTATTGCAACCACCTGCTGCCCAGTCCTACTAGAACCCAAAAGGTAGGAAACAGGAGGGTGGCTAAAAATATGTTGTTTTTTTATGTGGGTATCTGTGACATTGTGTGTATATATTGTGTGTATGTCTCTATGTGTGTTTGACTGTGTATCTAGACTGTGTGTGTGTGTCTCTCAGTGTGTGGGTGTGCCTGTCAGTCAGTGAGTGTCTGTCTGCCTGTCAGTCAGTGAGTGTGTCTCTGCCTGTCAGTGAGTTAGTGAGTGGGCCTCTGCCTGTCAGTGAGTGTGTGTGGGGGTCTGTCTGTCAGTGAGTGTGTGTGGGGGTCTGTCTGTCAGTGAGTGTGTGTGGGGGTCTGTCTGTCAGTCTGTGAGTGAGTGTGTGTGGGTCTGTCTGTCAGTCTGTGAGTGAGTGTGTGTGGGTCTGTCTGTCAGTCTGTGAGTGTGTGTGTGGGTCTGTCAGTCAGTGAGTGTGTCTCTGCCTGTCAGTGAGTGAGTGTGTCTCTGCCTGTCAGTGAGTGAGTGAGTGGGCCTCTGCCTGTCAGTGAGTGTGTGTGGGGGTCTGTCTGTCAGTGAGTGTGTGTGGGGGTCTGTCTGTCAGTGAGTGTGTGTGGGTCTGTCTGTCTGTAAGTGTGTGTGGGTCTGTCTGTCAGTCTGTGAGTGTGTGTGGGTCTGTCTGTCAGTCTGTGAGTGTGTGTGGGTCTGTCTGTCAGTGAGTGAGTGTGTGTGGGTCTGTCTGTCAGTGAGTGTGTGTGTGGGTCTGTCTGTCAGTGAGTGTGTGTGTGTGGGTCTGTCAGTGTGTGTGTGTGTGGGTCTGTGTCAGTGAGTGTATGTGTGGGTCTGTGTCAGTGAGTGTATGTGTGGGTCTGTCTGTCTGTGAGTGTATGTGTGGGTCTGTCTGTGAGTGTGTGGGTCTGTCTGTCTGTCTGTGGTGTGTGTGGGTCTGTCTGTCTGGGTCTGTCTGTCTGTGAGTGTGTGGGTCTGTCTGTCTGTCTGTCTGAGTGTGTGTGTGGGTCTGTCTGTCAGTGAGTGTATGTGTGGGTCTGTCTGTCAGTGAGTGTATGTGTGGGTCTGTCTGTCAGTGAGTGTATGTGTGGGTCTGTCTGTCAGTGAGTGTATGTGTGGGTCTGTCTGTGTCTGTGAGTGTGTGGGTCTGTCTGTCAGTGAGTGTGTGTGTGGGTCTATCTGTCTGTGAGTGTGTGTGGGTCTGTCTGTCTGTGAGTGTGTGTGGGTCTGTCTGTCAGTGAGTGTGAAAGGGTCTGTATGTCGGTCTGTCAGTGAGTGTGTGTGGGTCTGTCAGTGAGTGAGTGTGTGTGTATCAGTCCAGGTGTCTGTTAGTGAGTGTGCGTGTTAAGGTCACCAGCCCCCCTTCGATTAATTGGGAATGGTGTTTTTACTCACCTTTTTTCCCCAACGCCGTGCCAGTCTCCATAGCTGAGATTATCAATCTTGATGATCTCAGCCAATCCAATGCTTTCCTGCAGCATTGGGAGCTTTTGAGCATGCACAGTAAAATGCTGAACCAATCAGCATCTCCTCATAGAGATGCATTCAATCAATGCATCTCTTCGGGGAGCATTCTGCGCCTCCATGCAGATAGGAGACACTTTTGAGTGACTGCCACTAGATGTTACTAGGCAGCAATGTAAACACTGCCTTTTTTCTGGAAAGGCAGTGTTTACGTGGAAAAGCCTGCAGGGACAGGCTATAGACACCAGAGCCACTACATTAGCCTGTAGTGGTTCTAGTGACTATAGTGTTCCTTTAAGAATTGTATTTTCGTTGCTGGAAAAATAAATGGCTCCTAACTTTTTAAGCTGGCTCCTAGATCCAAAGCAAATTTGTCAAGCCCTGCACTAACCAGTGCTTCTTCTAGCTACGAGGGGAAATAGCAGAGATACTCAGCTGGAGTATAGTAAATCCACTACAAAGGATAGAGCCTCCCTCAGCCGCTTGGCACCTAGCAGGGCCCTTACTTTTCCTCTGGCACAGATTAGTAATAATTAGTTGGACAGTTCCATCCTGGGTTTTCATTTCAGATTCTGTTACAACCTATTGTTTGCACCATAGATTTCCTTTTACGTTTTTTACGCACAAGGTTTGTGTAGTTCTAAAATATGATACAAGATACGTGGGTTTCCCTGCAAATTGCTGATATTAAAATATACAAGAAAGCAATAAAAATCACCAATAGTAAAAACAAAAGTAACTTTATTTAGAAGGGAACAAGGTAATGTAAAAGAAATATAAACTTTCCACCTGAAAACAGGAATAAAAAATACCAGCCAGTAAAACAAGGTGAAAAGTGTATCTGCATCCATTATATGATTATAACTCGCTGCCCTGAAGGCGTAGGTCTCATTATCCAAGGCCAAGGATGGCTGCTTACCCTGGAGGGTCTGGCTACGTTCATCTTAGCAGCATTACAGTCAAATTAAATACATGAATAAAACTGATGGGACATCTATGGATGCCCTGGCAATTCGGCTAATTTAAAAACAGTAACGGCTAGCATTAAGTACAGAGATATGTTCAATCCCTAGAAAGTTAAATCGTGTCACATTGTTGTTTGGGCTCTTATTGCCATTCGATCAAAGTGTTTCTAATTCTACCATTTTATTGAGACAAGTTCATACAAAAATGTTTTGTATGGTAATACTGTAACCAGGAGCAGAGCTTACCCCAAAATCGAAATCTTTTGCTGATGGACATAATGCTTTCTCTAATTGATAGGAATGGGAAAAATTACCATATTCCTCCGATAAGAAACAAGAGTGATCTGTTAATTAGATGAACCTATGTCTTCAGTGCACAAGAAACCGCAGTTAATGTTACATTTGGACTTTATCTCTGCATAACACAATCAGACTACCAACTGCCGAAAAAAAAAAAGCATTTCTGAAAAATCTGAGAAAATGTCATCGAATTCAAAATGGTTATGACTTTAAACGAATACTAAAATTAAACCATAAAACTATGAAAATTCTCATAACAGAATTCAAATATTGCATAAAAAAAGTATCTAGCTAATACTGTACAGTCCACACAGCAGATCTGCACACACACAGGTCCATTTGGTGATGACTCTTAGGATAGAAGCTCTTAGTTCATACTGTGCGAAATCGATCTACATACTCATTCCTTAAAATAAAAACTCAACAAGGTAAACAAGTCTTCTAATTGGGCATTTGGCTGGTGTAACCATTGAAACACAGCAGGTGTAACCATCGAAGTATCGCATAGTTTGTTGAAAACATCTCAGTATGTTTGGGATTGATCTTGTAAGCAGGATGGAGATTATGATTAGTCGTACAAGTCTTCAAACATCTTCTTTCCCATTTCGATGTAGGCTTCCTTCTCCAGCGGGGTCATCTGTGCCACAAGCTCTGGGCGCTGACTCACCTCACTGTACAGGAATGGACGCCCTCCAACAGTGACTGTTAGGTCAGATGTCACCTCTTCAAACTCATCGTCATCGTCATCCTCCTCATACATTCGAGAAGAAGGTATCACTGGGTGCCGGGAGGCCGGACTATCTTGGTCAGATTCACTTGTGTCGCTGTCTGAGTCGCTGCCAGCACCGGCATTGGTTGATGGAGCAGAGCCGCCCCCCAAAGCAGCAGCCGCACTCTTCTTTTCATGGATAAGTAAGGCCTGCATTACTTCCTCATTTTCATCAGCTATTGCACGTCCTTCTTCTTGATCTTTGAAGGCATCTGTGTCCATCGTACCTGGAAAACACAAGAAAGGATTGAGAACAATTGGACCTTTTATATACCACAAGAATGCATGCTATTCCAGATATTCAGGGTTAGTAAAGAGCTATATCCCAGATATACAAGGTTAATAAAGAGCTATATCCCAGATATACAGGGTTAGTAAAGAGCTATATCCCAGATATACAGGGTTAGTAAATAGCTATATCCCAGATATACAGCGTTAGTAAAAGGCTGTATCCCAGATATACAGGGTTAGTAAAGACCTATATCCCAGATATACAGGGTTAGTATATAGCTGTATCCCAGATATACAGGGTTAGTAAATAGCTGTATCCCAGATATACAGGGTTAGTAAATAGCTGTATCCCAGATATACAGGGTTAGTAAATAGCTTTATCCCAGATATACAGGGTTAGTAAATAGCTGTATCCCAGATATACAGGGTTAGTAAATAGCTGTATCCCAGATATACAGGGTTAGTAAATAGCTATATCCCAGATATACAGGGTTAGTAAATAGCTATATCCCAGATATACAGGGTTAGTAAAAGGCTGTATCCCAGATATCCAGGGTTAGTAAATAGCTTTATTCCAGATATACAGGGTTAGTAAATAGCTATATCCCAGATATACAGGGTTAGTAAATAGCTATATCCCAGATATACAGGGTTAGTAAATAGCTGTATCCCAGATATACAGGGTTAGTAAATAGATGTATACCCAGATATACAGGGTTAGTAAATAGCTGTATCCCAGATATACAGGGTTAGTAAATAGCTATATCCCAGATATACAGGGTTAGTAAATAGCTGTATCCCAGATATACAGGGTTAGTAAATAGCTGTATCCCAGATATACAGGGTTAGTAAAGAGCTATATCCCAGATATACAGGGTTAGTAAAGAGCTGTATCCCAGATATACAGGGTTAGTAAAGAGCTGTATCCCAGATATACAGGGTTAGTAAAGAGCTGTATCCCAGATATACAGGGTTAGTAAAGAGCTGTATCCCAGATATACAGGGTTAGTAAAGCTTTATCCCAGATATACAGGGTTAGTAATGCCGTATCCCAGATATACAGGGTTAGTAAAAGCAGGGTAGTAACCCAGATATGTATCCCAGGGTTATATACAGGGTTAGTAAATAGCTATATCCCAGATATACAGGGTTAGTAAAGAGCTATATCCCAGATATACAGGGTTAGTAAATAGCTATATCCCAGATATACAGGGTTAGTAAAGAGCTGTATCCCAGATATGCAGGGTTAGTAAATAGCTGTATCCCAGATATACAGGGTTAGTAAAGAGCTGTATCCCAGATATACAGGGTTAGTAAATAGCTATATCCCAGATATACAGGGTTAGTATATAGCTGTATCCCAGATATACAGGGTTAGTAAAGTGCTGTATCCCAGATATACAGGGTTAGTAAATAGCTGTATCCCAGATATACAGGGTTAGCAAATAGCTGTATCCCAGATATACAGGGTTAGTAAATAGCTGTATCCCAGATATACAGGGTTAGTAAATAGCTATATCCCAGATATACAGGGTTAGTACATAGCTATATCCCAGATATACAGGGTTAGTAAATAGCTATATCCCAGATATACAGGGTTAGTAAATAGC